ATATTTTTGCTGTTGTTTTCCCTCCAAAATCACTGGAGGAGGATGTTATAAAAGAACTGGCTTTTGTTTGTTAAAGTCAGCATGAAAAGAAAGTTGCCCTATTGTGACGTGTGTCCGAGTTAAACGGCTTCTGGAACAAGAACAAATGTGGGCGGGGCTTGATTTTGTCTGTGGGGAATTGATTGGATGGTTGTGGTTTGCTATTGGTGGATCTCATGTGAGTGACAGGTCGCTACGCCCTCGCGCCAGTAAACATGTCATCAGAGAAGAGAAGGGGAAATTATTTTGATTAAAGATTACGAGGCACATGAATTTAAAAAATGATGAGAATGGATACATTATAAACGGCAATATTCCATAAACATTTCCATAAAATTATCAATTTTTATTTCAAGGTGGCTTTAAAAGGAAAGACTAGATGTAAGGTGATATTGAGGACACAGAAACAGTTGATTATCAATTAAATGAATATGCCCAAGAAAACATGCTAATATTTGGGTTATAGAAAGAAAAATTTTATATTATTATTTATGTAAATTGTCAGTGCCAAGAGCAAAAAATGAACTAAACTCAAACCAAAGTGGTGAAATTAGTTAAATCTCACCCCTCTCCCACCCCATATTCACTTAATGGTCATTATAGAAACATAACTGATATGATTTCCATGTTTTAAAGGCTGTGACTTTAATATTATGTGTTGAGTGTTATATAAGTTGTCAGTTGTATGTTTTGTGTGGTGTTTCAGAGCATGGTGGAGGACGTGCTGGAGGAGAACGGCTATTACAGGTGATTCTGATCAATTTACAGTGCTGGAAGTACACTAATCAATCCAAAGAATTCTGCACAAATAAAATGCATCACAGTTTCCACAAAAACAACATTAATAATAATCATAAATGTTTCTTGAGCATCAAATCATCATATTAGAGTGATTTCTGAGGGATCATGTGACACTGAAGACTGGAGTAATGATGCTGAAAATCCAGCTTTGATCACAGGAATAAATTACACTTTACTGTATATTATTCACATAGAAAACAGCTATTTTACATTCTAATAATATTTCAGAATTTTACTGTTTTTTTTATTTTTATTTTTATTAATGCAGTCTTGGTGAGCAGAAGAGACTTCTTTAAAAAAATGTAAATAAATATTTTGAATAGTTTTACAGCAGATTTAGTTCACAAATAACTGATAGGCATGACCTAAATATGATTTTATGATTTTTGAATGAATCGTTCAGTGTTATTAGTGAACCAATTCAGCAGGTTCATTGGAAAGAATCGGCTTGTTCATGAATCATAAATCACTGAAAGATATGTTTTATGAAATTAAGTGGAGTATAAAGTAAAGATAATGCTTTGCAATGCAGTGAAGGAAAAGTAAATGTTTCCCAAAAGAAAAATACTCTGATAAAGTACAGATATTCAAAACAATGTCCTTTCTCTGATCTGTGTGTGTGTGTGTGTGTGTGTGTGTGTGTGTGAACTGCAGAAGCGAGCTGGATTCAGGAGCAGGAATGAAACGTTCTCAAACACTCACATCTGCAGCACTTCAGTGATTGACAGCTGTCGTCGTGTCTGGAGACGCAGCGGCCTCTCAGGTCAAACGTGACACATGCACAGATGACCTGACAGTTATCACATTATGAATCATAAGCTGATTATATGGATCTGAAGAACACGTGTTAACCTGATGTTAGATTGCAATAGTCAATGCACGCACATAGATGATTTACCTCATTTGAATCTGTGCACTTTAGTGTGTGTGATCTTCCCTACTTTTTCTGGTTATTCTTTTTTTTTTGTTGACAAAACATGCATATGAATTAAAATACAGTTTAAATATTAAAATCAGTAGTTTATTTTTTCCTAACTAAATGAATTCTAGGCAATTTATTACTCCCACTCAGGACATGTTAAAATAAACAGAGGAACGCTTTACAAAATTCAGAAGATTTATATATATATATATATGTGTGTGTGTGTGTGTGTGTGTGGCCTTTATTATAACATTGTTTGTCTTTCTATATTTTATGTATGTTGAGTGCGGCCCAAAAGTCTGAGGTTACATTGAAACTTTAACCCTGCAAATAAAATAAAGTTTAAAACTGAAAAGAAATATTTAGTATTCTGTGCTATTTCTAGGACACTAATCAAATGTTAGAATACTAAATCTGTAATTACCGTTTATATTAAGTTAGAGGATGCATTGCATTTTAACTAGTGGTGTCAGGCTATTGAACCTCAATGTTTATTGTTTTTAACAACACTTTACAGTAGTGATGGGGACGAGACCGCCTGTACCGAGTCCGTTGGTTTTCAAATACAGTCGAGTCCGAGTCAAGACCGAGTCTTTGAGGAAGCAAGTCCGAGTCGAGATTTTGTCTCGACATGTCAGTTTTAATATTCATGATTTAATATCACCCCAGTTAATAATCAACAGTTAGGCCTACAGACTAAGCTAGATTGGTAATTGTTTAGAGGAGCAGTCTTAACTAGTGGAGTCTTTGAAGGGTCGAGTCTGAGTCGAGACCGAGTCTTTGAAGGGTCGAGTCCGAGTCGAGACCGAGTCTTTGAAGGGTCGAGTCCGAGTCGAGACCGAGTCTTTGAAGGGTCGAGTCCGAGTCTTTGAAGGGTTGAGTCCGAGTCTTTGAAGGGTCGAGTCCGAGTCGAGACCGAGTCTTTGAAGGGTCGAGACCGAGTCCAGACCGAGTCTTTGAAGGGTCGAGTCCGAGTCGAGACCGAGTCTTTGAAGGGTCGAGTCCGAGTCGAGACCGAGTCTTTGAAGGGTCGAGTCCGAGTCTTTGAAGGGTCGAGTCCGAGTCGAGACCGAGTCTTTGAAGGGTCGAGTCCGAGTCGAGACCGAGTCTTTGAAGGGTCGAGTCCGAGTCGAGACCGAGTCTTTGAAGGGTCGAGACCGAGTCCAGACCGAGTCTTTGAAGGGTCGAGTCCGAGTCGAGACCGAGTCTTTGAAGGGTCGAGTCCGAGTCCAGACCGAGGTCTTTGAAGGGTCGAGACCGAGTCCAGACCGAGTCTTTGAAGGGTCGAGTCCGAGTCGAGACAGAGTCTTTGAAGGGTCGAGAACGAGTCCAGACCGAGTCTTTGACGGGTCGAGTCCGAGTCCAGTCCGAGTCTTTGAAGGGTCGAGTCCGAGTCTTTGAAGGGTCGAGTCCGAGTCGAGACCGAGTCTTTGAAGGGTCGAGACCGAGTCCAGACCGAGTCTTTGAAGGGTTGAGTCCGAGTCCAGACCGAGTCTTTGAAGGGTCGAGACCGAGTCCAGATCGAGTCTTTGAAGGGTCGAGTCCGAGTCGAGACCGAGTCTTTGAAGGGTCGAGTCCGAGTCGAGACCGAGTCTTTGAAGGGTCGAGACCGAGTCCAGACCGAGTCTTTGAAGGGTCGAGACCGAGTCCAGACCGAGTCTTTGAAGGGTTGAGTCCGAGTCCAGACCGAGTCTTTGAAGGGCCGAGTCCAGACCGAGTCTTTGTAGGGTCCAGTCCGAGTCCAGACCGAGTCTTTGAAGGGTCGAGTCCGAGTCTTTGAAGGGTCGAGTCCGAGTCTTTGAAGGGTCGAGTCCGAGTCTTTGAAGGGTCGAGTCCGAGTCTTTGAAGGGTCGAGTCCGAGTCGAGACCGAGTCTTTGAAGGGTCGAGACCGAGTCCAGACCGAGTCTTTGAAGGGTCGAGTCCGAGTCGAGACCGAGTCCAGACCGAGTCTTTGAAGGGTCGAGTCCCAGTCGAGACCGAGTCCAGACCGAGTCTTTGAAGGGCCGAGTCCAGACCGAGTCTTTGTAGGGTCCAGTCCGAGTCCAGACCGAGTCTTTGAAGGGTCGAGTCCGAGTCTTTGAAGGGTCGAGTCCGAGTCTTTGAAGGGTCGAGTCCGAGTCTTTGAAGGGTCGAGTCCGAATCGAGACCGAGTCTTTGAAGGGTCGAGTCCGAGTCGAGACCGAGTCCAGACCGAGTCTTTGAAGGGTCGAGTCCCAGTCGAGACAGAGTCCAGACCGAGTCTTTGAAGGGTCGAGTCCGAGTCGAGACCGAGTCTTTGAAGGGTCGAGTCCGAGTCGAGACCGAGTATTTGAAGGGTCGAGACAGAGTCCAGACCGAGTCTTTGAAGGGTCGAGTCCGAGTCGAGACCGAGTCTTTGAAGGGTCGAGTCCGAGTCGAGACCGAGTATTTGAAGGGTCGAGTCCGAGTCCAGACAGAGTCTTTGAAGGGTCGAGACCGAGTCCAGGCCGAGTCTTTGACGGGTCGAGTCCGAGTCTTTGAAGGGTCGAGTCCGAGTCTTTGAAGGGTCGAGTCCGAGTCTTTGAAGGGTCGAGTCCGAGTCTTTGAAGGGTCGAGTCCGAGTCTTTGAAGGGTCGAGTCCGAATCGAGACCGAGTCTTTGAAGGGTCGAGTCCGAGTCGAGACCGAGTCCAGACCGAGTCTTTGAAGGGTCGAGTCCCAGTCGAGACAGAGTCCAGACCGAGTCTTTGAAGGGTCGAGTCCGAGTCGAGACCGAGTCTTTGAAGGGTCGAGTCCGAGTCGAGACCGAGTCTTTGAAGGGTCGAGACAGAGTCTTTGAAGGGTCGAGTCCGAGTCCAGACCGAGTCTTTGAAGGGTCGAGTCCGAGTCCAGACCGAGTCTTTGAAGGGTCGAGTCCGAGTCTTTGAAGGGTTGAGTCCGAGTCCAGACCGAGTCTTTGAAGGGTTGAGTCCGAGTCCAGACCGAGTCTTTGAAGGGTCGAGTCCAAGTCGAGACTGAGTCTTTGAAGGAACAAGTCCGAGACGAGTCCGAGAAAGCAGAAATCGGTCTCGAGACCGGACTCGACTACTACATACTACTTTACAGTTAGATCTCACTTGTTAACATTAGTTAATGCATCAGCTAACATTAACTAACAATGCACATGCATTTACGGTAATATATATATATATATGTAGTTGAGGTTCACAGCCCATCATGGCATTTCAGCGTCCTCTAGTGGGTAAAGATATGAAAGGCAATAAAGAGGCATGACAACAAATGACAAGTAAATATTTATTTACTTTATAATGATATATTTCAAATAGATATACACAACTATACATACTGCACTGTTATTTATAAGGAACTGAAAAACATGGACACAGCAGAGCTGAACGCGGGAGTAGTACGTAATTTCCTATTGGTTATAGGCTGAGAAATGTCCATTATTGTCAAGCTGTTTCCATATGCATAGAGTAAACCGGGAGCAGTGCATCCCAAAATAACTGGGATTTTAACATGGTTTCCCTGCTCTGCGATCATCACAGAGAAGAAAAACAAAACCCATGTCCGTAGATGTGGCAAAGAGTGATAAGGCAATCTGTACAAAGATCCATAAATAAATCCATCTCTTTCACTTGTGCACGAAGCGTACTTTTGTTCACGTCCACTATACATGTTTCCCGCTGCATAATGGAAGACTTATAACACCTCTCTGTACGTGGTCTATATAAAAACATATTTTAAAGTGACTCCTCTCCGCCCGTGCACCGTTATTATGGTGTCAGGGGAGACATAATATCCTATCTGTTCCTCGACACCTCGTGCAAAAGCATTGTCCTGTTATACAGGGTAAAACGATGCCAACATGCTGCTAGACACAGACATGCATTCAAAAATAATAATAATAATAAAATCACATCTTATATTTATATATATATATATCTACAACACATAATCAATCTTACTCTTTTGAACTAGATACGACGTAAAGCTGCTCTTATACGAATAGCCATGCGTTAGCAGCGATTGCACATAATGAAAAGACGATATGCTACAAAGGAAGAGTCTAGTGTTTTACTCAAAAAATGTGAAACGTAGACGACCTTTGCTTGTGCGTATGAGCAAATCACAATAATATCTAATATAGCTTTCAAATCATCTGAAAGTTTTTGAATGCAGCTCTTTATTCACAAAACGATCGAGTAAAAAAGCCTGTTAAATACATTCAAGAGTAGAAATGTACAGCCCAGATTGGTCAGACGGAGAGTAAAGGGAAGCACTGTTGTGTGTGTGTGTGTGTTTAAGGTTGTATTTTGAAGGCTAGCAGCTCCTCGGAGTGCATGTTATTGAGCGAGCGCAGTTCGGGAAGCTTCAGGAGGAGCTTGGTGAAGATGGCGGCCTCGTTCGAGTGGTTCTTCATGATCAGGTTCCTCAGGGCTCGGATCAGGGTCTCCTGAAGGGCCTCCACGCCACTTACATTCTCAATGGCCGATCGGTCTGCAAAGGCACGCACAAATGCTCAAGTTAGAGGAAAGTTGCATGCTTGTAACCAATATTTGTGTGCGTAAAAATAAATGATTTATAAATAGCATAAATTTATTTATTTACATAAAATTTATATTTTGGCTATAAATATTATTTGCACATTCTGAAATTAAAAATGATAAAAATTAAATTAATAGCAAAATTGTATTCTTTATTTATATTAAATGTATATTTGTGTCTGTAGATATATTTATAATTAAAAAATAAATCATTTAGAAATAATAAACTAATAGCATAATTGTATTTATTTATTTTGTCAATAAATGTATTTATACATTTACAAATAAATAATATATAAATTAATAGCAAAAAAATATTTTCTATTTACATTAAATGTATATTTTGTCTATAAATGTATTTATACATTTTAAAACAAATAATTTATAAATAAAAAATAGCAAAAATGTATTCTTTATTTACATTAATAATACATTAAAATGTGTTTATAAAAATAAAAAAATCATTTAGAAATGACAATTATTTAAAAAAATAACTTATATTAAATTCATTAAAAATAGTATTAAAAATAATTTATATTAATTTTTAATATTTCTTGATGGCCGTTCTGCAAAAGTATGCAAATGTACTTATACAACGTTTTTATAAGAATTATTAAAATTACAGTATTTTATAATTATTAAAAGCACAACCAATCTGTATCAATAAATCGTTTATTATATAACTACAGCTAAACTGTAATACCTAATACGTGTGTGCTGTGTTTGCACATAGAAATTCATGATCAAAATAAATAAATAAATAAATATAAAAAAATTATTAGTTCAAATCATTAATAAATAAATATTATTCTAAAAATAATTTATATTAATTAAAATAATCTTAATACAAAAATAAAATAGGTTAATCTATCATATTTAAAGAAACTTGTTAATAAACTGCCCGCTTCTGCTGCTCAGCTGATGTGTGTTTGTACCTGCAGACACCAGCACCACCGCCGAGAACAGGCTCATCTCCTCCTCGTTGAGCTGCAGGACTGAGAGCTTCTCGCTGAACTCAAACATGCAGCTGAGCAGCTCTCCGGCGCCCATCGAGCGCAACAGATCCACACTGTACTTCGTCCCGCTGAGGAAGGTCACTGTGCGCTCCGTCACGTCGAACAACGGCACGAAGTGGACCATCAGAACCTGAGCGGAGGGAAACAGGAGAACGTCAGGCCGGGTGAACACTCGATTTATAATAATCCTTTATGATTGTTCCATGTCAAACATGATCATCGCTGTAAGCCATGTCACACTGTAAGATCTCAGATGTCATTAATGTCACACTGTAAGATCTCAGATGTCATTAATGTCACACTGTAAGATCTCAGATGTCATTAATGTCACACTGTAAGATCTCAGATATCATTAATGTCACACTGTAAGATCGCAGATATCATATGTCACACTGTAAGATCTCAGATATCATTAATGTCACACTGTAAGATCTCAGATATCATTAATGTCACACTGTAAGATCTCAGATATCATTAATGTCACACTGTAAGATCCCAGATGTCATTAATGTCACACTGTAAGATCTCAGATGTCATTAATGTCACACTGTAAGATCTCAGATATCATTAATGTCACACTGTAAGATCTCAGATATCATTAATGTCACACTGTAAGATCTCAGATATCATTAATGTCACTGTAAGATCTCAGATATCATTAATGTCACACTGTAAGATCTCAGATATCATTAATGTCACACTGTAAGATCTCAGATATCATTAATGTCACACTGTAAGATCTCAGATGTCATTAATGTCACACTGTAAGATCTCAGATGTCATTAATGTCACACTGTAAGATCTCAGATGTCATTAATGTCACACTGTAAGATCTCAGATGTCATTAATGTCACACTGTAAGATCGCAGATATCATTAATGTCACACTGTAAGATCTCAGATGTCATTAATGTCACACTGTAAGATCTCAGATATCATTAATGTCACACTGTAAGATCGCAGATATCATTAATGTCACACTGTAAGATCTCAGATGTCATTAATGTCACACTGTAAGATCTCAGATATCATTAATGTCACTGTAAGATCTCAGATGTCATTAATGTCACACGATAAGATCTCAGATGTCATTAATGTCACACTGTAAGATCTCAGATGTCATTAATGTCACACTGTAAGATCTCAGATGTCATTAATGTCACACTGTAAGATCTCAGATATCATTAATGTCACTAAGATCTCAGATATCATTAATGTCACTAAGATCTCAGATATCATTAATGTCACACTGTAAGATCTCAGATGTCATTAATGTCACACTGTAAGATCTCAGATGTCATTAATGTCACACTGTAAGATCGCAGATATCATATGTCACACTGTAAGATCTCAGATATCATTAATGTCACACTGTAAGATCTCAGATATCATTAATGTCACTGTAAGATCTCAGATATCATTAATGTCACACTGTAAGATCTCAGATGTCATTAATGTCACACTGTAAGATCTCAGATGTCATTAATGTCACTGTAAGATCTCAGATGTCATTAATGTCACACTGTAAGATCTCAGATATCATTAATGTCACACTGTAAGATCTCAGATGTCATTAATGTCACACTGTAAGATCTCAGATGTCATTAATGTCACACTGTAAGATCTCAGATGTCATTAATGTCACACTGTAAGATCTCAGATATCATTAATGTCACTGTAAGATCTCAGATGTCATTAATGTCACACTGTAAGATCTCAGATGTCATTAATGTCACACTGTAAGATCTCAGATGTCATTAATGTCACTGTAAGATCTCAGATGTCATTAATGTCACACTGTAAGATCTCAGATATCATTAATGTCACACTGTAAGATCTCAGATGTCATTAATGTCACACTGTAAGATCTCAGATGTCATTAATGTCACACTGTAAGATCTCAGATGTCATTAATGTCACACTGTCAGATCTCAGATATCATTAATGTCACACTGTAAGATCTCAGATGTCATTAATGTCACACTGTAAGATCTCAGATATCATTAATGTCACTGTAAGATCTCATATGTCATTAATGTCACACTGTAAGATCTCAGATATCATTAATGCCACACTGTAAGATCTCAGATGTCATTAATGCCACACTGTAAGATCTCAGATGTCATTAATGTCACACTGTAAGATCTCAGATGTCATTAATGTCACACTGTAAGATCTCAGATGTCATTAATGTCACACTGTAAGATCTCAGATATCATTAATGTCACACTGTAAGATCTCAGATGTCATTAATGTCACACTGTAAGATCTCAGATATCATTAATGTCACTGTAAGATCTCAGATGTCATTAATGTCACACTGTAAGATCTCAGATGTCATTAATGTCACACTGTAAGATCTCAGATATCATTAATGTCACACTGTAAGATCTCAGATGTCATTAATGTCACACTGTAAGATCTCAGATATCATTAATGTCACACTGTAAGATCTCAGTTGTCATTAATGTCACACTGTAAGATCTCAGTTGTCATTAATGTCACACTGTAAGATCTCAGATGTCATTAATGTCACACTGTAAGATCTCAGTTGTCATTAATGTCACACTGTAAGATCTCAGTTGTCATTAATGTCACACTGTAAGATCTCAGTTGTCATTAATGTCACACTGTAAGATCTCAGATATCATTAATGTCACACTGTAAGATCTCAGATGTCATTAATGTCACACTGTAAGATCTCAGATATCATTAATGTCACACTGTAAGATCTCAGTTGTCATTAATGTCACACTGTAAGATCTCAGTTGTCATTAATGTCACACTGTAAGATCTCAGATATCATTAATGTCACACTGTAAGATCTCAGTTGTCATTAATGTCACACTGTAAGATCTCAGATATCATTAATGTCACACTGTAAGATCTCAGATGTCATTAATGTCACACTGTAAGATCTCAGATATCATTAATGTCACACTGTAAGATCTCAGTTGTCATTAATGTCACACTGTAAGATCTCAGTTGTCATTAATGTCACACTGTAAGATCTCAGATGTCATTAATGTCACTGTAAGATCTCAGATGTCATTAATGTCACACTGTAAGATCTCAGATGTCATTAATGTCACTGTAAGATCTCAGATGTCATTAATGTCACACTGTAAGATCTCAGTTGTCATTAATGTCACACTGTAAGATCTCAGATATCATTAATGTCACACTGTAAGATCTCAGTTGTCATTAATGTCACACTGTAAGATCTCAGATATCATTAATGTCACACTGTAAGATCTCAGATGTCATTAATGTCACACTGTAAGATCTCAGATATCATTAATGTCACACTGTAAGATCTCAGTTGTCATTAATGTCACACTGTAAGATCTCAGTTGTCATTAATGTCACACTGTAAGATCTCAGATGTCATTAATGTCACTGTAAGATCTCAGATGTCATTAATGTCACACTGTAAGATCTCAGTTGTCATTAATGTCACACTGTAAGATCTCAGATGTCATTAATGTCACTGTAAGATCTCAGATGTCATTAATGTCACACTGTAAGATCTCAGATGTCATTAATGTCACACTGTAAGATCTCAGATATCATTAATGTCACACTGTAAGATCTCAGATGTCATTAATGTCACACTGTAAGATCTCAGATATCATTAATGTCACACTGTAAGATCTCAGTTGTCATTAATGTCACACTGTAAGATCTCAGATATCATTAATGTCACACTGTAAGATCTCAGATATCATTAATGTCACACTGTAAGATCTCAGTTGTCATTAATGTCACACTGTAAGATCTCAGATATCATTAATGTCACACTGTAAGATCTCAGTTGTCATTAATGTCACACTGTAAGATCTCAGATGTCATTAATGTCACTGTAAGATCTCAGATGTCATTAATGTCACACTGTAAGATCTCAGATGTCATTAATGTCACTGTAAGATCTCAGATGTCATTAATGTCACACTGTAAGATCTCAGTTGTCATTAATGTCACACTGTAAGATCTCAGATATCATTAATGTCACACTGTAAGATCTCAGTTGTCATTAATGTCACACTGTAAGATCTCAGATATCATTAATGTCACACTGTAAGATCTCAGATGTCATTAATGTCACACTGTAAGATCTCAGATATCATTAATGTCACACTGTAAGATCTCAGTTGTCATTAATGTCACACTGTAAGATCTCAGTTGTCATTAATGTCACACTGTAAGATCTCAGATGTCATTAATGTCACTGTAAGATCTCAGATGTCATTAATGTCACACTGTAAGATCTCAGTTGTCATTAATGTCACACTGTAAGATCTCAGATGTCATTAATGTCACTGTAAGATCTCAGATGTCATTAATGTCACACTGTAAGATCTCAGATGTCATTAATGTCACACTGTAAGATCTCAGATATCATTAATGTCACACTGTAAGATCTCAGATGTCATTAATGTCACACTGTAAGATCTCAGATATCATTAATGTCACACTGTAAGATCTCAGTTGTCATTAATGTCACACTGTAAGATCTCAGTTGTCATTAATGTCACACTGTAAGATCTCAGATGTCATTAATGTCACACTGTAAGATCTCAGTTGTCATTAATGTCACACTGTAAGATCTCAGTTGTCATTAATGTCACACTGTAAGATCTCAGTTGTCATTAATGTCACACTGTAAGATCTCAGATATCATTAATGTCACACTGTAAGATCTCAGATGTCATTAATGTCACACTGTAAGATCTCAGATATCATTAATGTCACACTGTAAGATCTCAGTTGTCATTAATGTCACACTGTAAGATCTCAGTTGTCATTAATGTCACACTGTAAGATCTCAGATATCATTAATGTCACACTGTAAGATCTCAGTTGTCATTAATGTCACACTGTAAGATCTCAGATATCATTAATGTCACACTGTAAGATCTCAGATGTCATTAATGTCACACTGTAAGATCTCAGATATCATTAATGTCACACTGTAAGATCTCAGTTGTCATTAATGTCACACTGTAAGATCTCAGTTGTCATTAATGTCACACTGTAAGATCTCAGATGTCATTAATGTCACTGTAAGATCTCAGATGTCATTAATGTCACACTGTAAGATCTCAGATGTCATTAATGTCACTGTAAGATCTCAGATGTCATTAATGTCACACTGTAAGATCTCAGTTGTCATTAATGTCACACTGTAAGATCTCAGATATCATTAATGTCACACTGTAAGATCTCAGTTGTCATTAATGTCACACTGTAAGATCTCAGATGTCATTAATGTCACTGTAAGATCTCAGTTGTCATTAATGTCACACTGTAAGATCTCAGATGTCATTAATGTCACTGTAAGATCTCAGATGTCATTAATGTCACACTGTAAGATCATCCGTATTTTACATCATAAATCAATGACACGTTCGGTGACGGTGAGCTGCACGCGGGATTTATACGGTGGCTACAAAGAAATCTCTAACGTTTATTTTGGTCACGGCTTGTCTTGAAAAACGAAAACAATTTGACGGTCGTCGTAGGATAAGTCACACTGTAGGACTGAGAGTCAAATCTTCTGACTAACAGAATTTTGTCTGAGGTCAAATTTTATCTCAACCGTCATTAATCGGCTGTCGGTGAACATGTCAAACTAACGATCGATGAATTCAGATTTTAGCCTAGGATCAGAGGAATCAAATCGAGTCCAAAATCGCACAGTGTGAACCGGCTTTAGAAGTCTGATGGACAGATTGTGCTGACTGAAATGCGTCGGGACTCGTGTTGCCTCACCTCGAATGTTCCCGCCTTGAGGAGGTTAACCTGGTCGTGTTGGGAGAGCTCCTGGAAGCCAGGGATCCGCTTGGCAAATTCCACGACTTCTCGTACAGCAGGAATGAAACTCTTGGAGAAATCTTCCCAGATCTCATGACCAGGCTTGCAGGGGTCGACGAAGGGGGAGACGCTCATGGGACACACCTGAGAGAAGACCAACAGAGTCAAATTAGACAAGAATCACTTTAGTGCTAAAATGGCTCTGTTTCTATTGTGCTGGGAATCATTGGTGTGCTATTGGCTGAAAGATATCAAGCATAGCGTCAGTTCTGGCAGGTCACGCTAGTCAAGCTCGCATCAGCTGATCCACATCTACCTATAGGAATACAACGCCTCTCACTGTATACATATATAAACTCCTTCAGTGTTATCAGCAGATATCGTGTTTCTCAGGAGCGCATTACCCTCCTCCCTCCCCAGCTCCTCCTCTCGTTAGTAAATTCTTGCTTATGTTGTACTTTAAAATCTTGAATTAATGATATCTGCATACATTCATGTTGGTTCTGTTCTGTTTACCCTAAGGCCGTGTGTCCACCAAAGCGTTTTTTTAACGCGCCTGGCGTATTTTTTCAATTGTTTTCAATGGGAGCGCAACGTTTTCTAAACGCCATGAGCGTAACGAGGCGCTGAGCGTTTTTTTCACGCTAAAGCGCCCGGCGTTTTTTACAGGTCGCCGAGAGTTGAAGAATGTTCAACTTTGGGTAAAACGCAGCGCTCATCACTGTCACTTTTTACCCAGCCGTCCAATCACAGTGGAGGAGGGGCGGGGCTAATACCACACCGACCAACTGTCACAACATTCTTTCTGTACAACGAAATCAACCAGCAGAGCTAACCCAACAAAATGGATGTATTTTTAGTATAAAACAAATGATCTGCGAAATCAATTACAATCAGTTATAAACATTCTCAAGCGCCCAAACTAGGCGTTTTCAGCTGGCCAAAAAAGCTTTGGTGGACACACGGCCTAAGGGGGGTTATCGCTGCTCTTAGCCATGCTAGGCTACATGGATGCGCAGGGAGTTCTCGCCCAGAACACAACCATAACGTCAATCCAAACTGTATGCTAATTGTCAATCGTATTTGACGATAGTGGTCCTGACAGAAACACTCTTTTGGCAAAGCTCTAAGACAGTGGCTGTTTCTCAATATGTTCTTGCGCGATCTTGCGTCCTTGTGTTCTCGCTCTACGTCATCATCAACCGTTGAAGTTCAATTGCAATACTCAAGTATGCAAGTACAGAGGACACATGAAAGTGCCTAGATATGTTCTTGATATCGAGGATGCATCGAATGTAGACTTGAGAGAATCGAACCGTTAAAAATCCCAGAAGACACTGCGGGCGTAAGCTGACCTGTAACCTTTAAACTTCTCGGTTCACACTTAAGAGATTCGAAATACTTGACAGCTCGTGAAAGTACTAGACATTTGCCTGTCTCTTTTGCTTAATTTTAGACCTTAAGAAAGCGGCAGTATTTTTTTTGGCATATTAAAAAGAATCGTTTGAACATTGACAAAGCATAGGTAACACACAGGTTACTCATTTTCATAAATGCACACGGTAATATAAAAAAAGATATAAACTTACATGAAAACAATGTCTATAATAATATGAAAGAAATAGGTTGTGATATTTGTTTGTGATGTTATATTTATTGCGCTTTGGTCATTAATCGCTATTCGTTATTAATCGCTAAATGTGTTCTTCGCAGAGAATGCAATCCCATAATGCATTGTGTCGAGCTTGAATTTTTTTTACATTTATGAATGCATTAGCAGACGCTTTTATCCAAAGTGACTTACAAGAGGAACAAAAGCACCAGGCGAATAAGCTTAGTGCCGACGATCAAATAAATACTTAACCTGTGCTAATTGAAAGCAAACAAGTTGAAAAATATTGAATCCAGTATTTGATGATAATATAGCACAATGAACAATTTACAAGCAATGAGGATTTTCAACACAGCACAAGATGTTAAGAAAAACTGTTTTTAACTGTCCAGTGACCGTAGCACACGTGTGGTTTTGTTTACAAATTTTGGTTAAAAAAAATCAACATTGTATTTGGTCCGGACCAAAGCAAGTGAACTAGCGGACTTTCCTGGTGTGACAATAGTTAACAATATCACCACTGATCCTACGTTATTATTGCTAATATTGATGTATAAACAGCCAATGTCACTAACCAGATGTCCTCTGTTTCCTCATACCAATTTAGCTCAACCAATTACCAAGCAATGCTTAATTTTGTTCAGTCTTTGGTGTAAAAAGCTAACATTAGCAATTAAAGAAAAAACACTTCAGCAAAACATGATCAGCTCAAAGTGTCTGAATAATTTTTAGTCCCAAATTTTAATACATTTTACTGGTAGTCACTGTATGAAGAATTTTTGGGTATATGTCACGGTTTACTTTATTTTGCTATCCTCACTTACATACATTAACTATAGTGTCCTGCACACACTAGTAAAAATATTTAAAACATAATTTTAGGTTTGACTGTATAGACAGCAGAAGGCCACTAACCAGATGTCGTCTGTTTCCCCCCGTCTGGAGTTTGTTCATGTTGTTCCCGTGGAAAGGCAAGTTTTCCGGCTGACGAATGCAAGGGCTCTGAACGCACGGCTGGGTCACATGATACGCCGTCACATGTTCCCTGTACGATCCAGGCGTTTCGGAGCCGGATGAGCTGAACATGAACAGATCCTTACGGGGAACGAGTCCGTTGCTCACCGAATCCTCCTCTCCGCTGTCCGAGGAACATGACGAGGCCGTGTCCATGGGAGCGCTCGACTCCGAGTCCCGGGACAGATCCGACGAGGACCGAGGAGAGGCCGGCGGAGACAGGGAAGAGGAGCTGCTGGTCTCGATGGGACACGGGACGTGAAGCATGTGCTGAAGCTGACTGTTGTTCATCATGTTATTCATGGCCGTCTGCATCTCCAGGAGCATCCGCTGCTTCTCCCGCTTCGGGATGCGTCCGAATCGCACAGCTGAAAAACAATCGCACAGATTGTTTACTGAATTATGCCTTTTTGCATGTTCAACTTATTAGTGTGTGAGTTATTCTCTATATCAGTGTTTCTGAACTCCCTGAAACGCCTCCATTGTAGTCTTGAGTTTCTTCTGGGAACGAACACGTCACAATATTCCTCATTTAAATAATTCATACGCGGAATAAAGGGGCGGGGCCTGGTTGAGTTAGTTAGTAGTGTGTTAAAACCATAGACTGTAAAGAAATATGGACGTAGAGTCTGTGACGTCACCCGTAGTGTTTCTAAAGAGCATTTTTGAGCCCAAAGTGGGCGGAGCCGGCCGTTGCCATCTTGGCAGCGTCACTCCCGGATAAACGAAAATGGGCAGAGGCGGATTAGCTGAGGTGACGTGACGCTAACAGACGGCTAGTAGTGACATCAGCGGCAATCCAGCTGTCACTCAAGTGACCACGCCCATAATTATGCAGAACTTTAAGGCTTAATATAATTTAAACAAATGAGTTATAAAATAATTCACCCCCCTCACAGTCGTCATGAAGGGCTAAATTAGCTATATAGACCAAAACCGCTTTTTGCACCAGGCTGCAAACATATATTTTTCTGCTGTAAAGTTGTGCATATTAACATGCGGGTCTATGGGATTGAGTCTCTTTTGCATCTAGTGGCCAGTTGATGAACTGCAGTTTAAGTCACTTCCGTGTTGGATTCAAGAGAGAGACCGGGAGGTTACCGCTTGCTGGTTATGGTAAGGGGCGGGACATTTCCCAAACACACTCGAAGTGCTCGACCAATCACAACACACTGCTCCAGCCGACCAATCAGAGCACAGTGTGCTTTTCAGAAGGAGGGGCTTCATAGAGACAGGAACTAAACAGAGCGTTACTGACAGACTGGGAAGAGAGGAGCCGCAACAATGGAGAATATGGAGAATAATCAACTTTCAAGCAGGAAAACCTGTTCTAGTAGAGCCCAAAAACAACATCAAGACTTTGAAAAGGGCAGAATAGGTCCTCTTTAAGAGTCAATGCTTCCAGTTCTTCCCCGTTTAACTATTCTTCTGCTTGACTAGTACAAAAGTAGTTGTGCAAGTCCTAATGTCAACATCACAGAAGCTTGAGCTCATAAGGGAGAAGAATATGCTTGAAACTCACCGTCTCGCGACATCCCGACAGATAAACACTTCTTGAAGCGGCACTGCTGGCAGCGGTTGCGGTTTATCCGCACAATAGTGCAGCTCTCCGTCTTCAGGCATTTCTTGTACTGAATGTTCTGCTGGATGCTTCTTCTGAAGAAACCCTGTAAAAACAATCAGCGCAATTATTCCCTAGCAGTGCTTAGTTTTATTTATATACTAAATAACAACTCCAAGTATTTTATACCTGGAGATATTACGGGTCTGTTCCAAATACTATAAAGTAAATCAAGTTTGACTTGACTTGATTTGAAAGTATGCATGCAGTGCTGCTCTAGAATTTGGCTAAAAGATTCGTTTTCACATTGTGGTCGTGCCAATGATGCCTTAAAATGCGCCATTACCTGTACATGAGCAGATCACTGTTTTGGAACGGACTCAAACTGTTAGCTGATCCTGAGAGAAGTGTGTCCTTACCTTGCAGCCTTCGCAGGCATGAACGCCGTAGTGGAAGCCTGAGGCCACGTCTCCACACACTTTACACAGTAACACCATTCCATTGAGCTCTGGAAAATATGCATGTAAGAGAAAGAGTCAAATCAAGTGCACAAAAACATGCACGAATTGATTTCAAATATGCATTTCCTTATTGTTTGTGCTTGGTTACATGAAAATTGGTTATGCTGGATCTTAAATTCGATAATCTTGCGTTTGTTTTATTGTAATGCTTAATGAAGGTCATGGGACTGAAACATTGCTAAATAAATTTTTTGCAAGATGGGATAGTGTGTGTTCTAGTTTATTGATACGCACCTATCAATTATTTGCAGATGTGCTAGGTCAATTGTTTATTGACTAGATTACAATTATTGACTAGATAAAAAAATGCAATGCAATCTCAAAATGGCTATAGAATCCCATATAAAGCTGATTCAGCACTTCTTCTTGTATGTAACTCACTGGTGATGCTGCTCTTGGCGGCGAGGCTCTTGTCGCGTGGGTGAAGGCGTTTCGACAGCAGGCCAGCGCTGGGCAGGTCTGGGATACGGCTCGGTTTACTGGGCAGAGGAGGGGAGGATGATGGGGATTGGCTGTTTGAGCTGTCACTCATGCAGGACTCAAGGCTGGAGGCGGAGCTTGAGGAGCAAACGTAGGCTATCACGCCTCCTTGAGAAAAAAACAAAAAGTGTTTTAAGAGTACTTTAAGACAAAATGATGCACAGTACTAAACATGCACAAATTGATATACAAATATGCATTTCCTAGATTTAAAAAAATGAAAGATTGGAATTTTTCTTTTTTTAAATGCAAAAAAGCTGATATTATTTCCCATTGTTTTTGTTTTTTTGTTCTACTGGTCTAATAATGAATCTAATAATGTTCTTATTTTTATGGAATCTTGTTTCTGCCTCTAATAAAAAGGTAATTACTACTTTACATCTTGAAATTCTAACTTTATTTCTCAGAATTCTGAGATTACGTATTGGAATTCTAATTTTATTTCTCAGAATTCTGAGATTACATCTTAGAGTTCTGACTTTTTGTTTCCGCCACGGAATAAAAAAATAAAAAGGTTTAAAAAGTACTTCATATTACAACTTTATCACAACTTGGACTGTTCTCCAAATTGCAAGTTAATATCACAATTCTGAGTTTATTAAGCTTTTTTTTTCTGTGAACAAAAACGTTAAATTGTGAGATAAAAAGCTGCAGTTACCTTTTTAATTTTTTATTCTGTGGCGGAAAATGAGCTTATTATAATAAAAACAAATATAATACAGGCAAAAAACAAAAGCACATCAATCCCACTACAAATGAAGATGTACTGAAACTGTTATACTCGTGATACAGTTTGACCTGCTTCATTGCATTTCATTCGCATATTGTATAACTGCGTTATGTAAACTAACATCAATGGATCCATGCTATGGAGAAATCACAAAAAAATATGCTTGCATGACTTTTTAAAATTATTATATTAATTATATATTTATATAATCTTATAATGTTCCCATGTTGGATGAACTTCCCTATTTTAGACAGTTCATGATGACCCAGTTTTAAATGAATGAAACTGCAAAGCATTGTTTAATTACACTATATAGACTGTAGCACTAGTACCATGGTTAAATGAATATGGTATGAGTATCATGGCATATCAAAAGAACAATTTGATACCATCAATGCATTTTTATTGGGTAAAGCAGTCCAAGATGTACACTACATTTATGCATATAGCCTATATATTCATAAACGTGTGCATACATGGATTTAACCGGCTGTGCCTCCACAAACACAGAGTAAAAATGTGCTGGAGATTTTTAAAAGGACATGGTAGGTAGCCTAAATGATTGCTCAACCCTTATTTTCTCAGACCCACCCACACGTGGACCTCTCGTGTTTTGTACGGGAAGAATAACTAGGTCACTAGCTGTCTACTGCCTCCCTCACGTGGTACTGCAGAGTCTCGCGTCAGGGCAGTGTGCTAAATTATGCAACCGCCTGCTTTCGACCAATCAGGGGTTACGTATCGGGCGTCACGACCAATCAGCGGCCGAGCCTCGTCTCCTCGTACACACATGCACATGACTGAGCCATGTGAGCTCGAGCCTTCTAGTACTTCGAGTACTGAGTGCGCGTGACGTCACGGGCACTCCTAACCCACATACACTGTTTGACGTGCACTACGTTGCAGCAATGCAATGCAAGCAATGGAAAGCATGTCAAAGGCGCTTTAAATCACAAAATAAAATAGAATAGTGCACACATCTACTTTGTGATACCGTAAAAGAGGTTTAAAGCTTCACTAATAAGTCAGAGGGAAGATATTACAATATATTTTTTACACATAAATCAGTAAAGATATGCACAACAGAATGAGGGTTAAATGTAGATTTAACAATAAATGCAATTTATTAACTTCTTAATCAAACATCAACAGAAACGCATACTATTATGCACACATAATAAAGATGACAAATAAGATTTTTAATTAAAAATATATATTTTTTTATCAAGATTTATATAGGGATTTCGCTCAAAACAGCTATTTGCTAAAACATTTGAGAGGAACTAAATCTATCTAACATGCCCGTGTCTAGAATTCACTAGAAATAAATGCTTATTCCTTAATACTTGCCGGTTTTTCCATGACAGTGGAAATCTTGTATGCTATTATCAAAATATCATCTCATGATACCATCACTGTTGTAATTGTAAACATTTCCTTTCTTCAAATAACAGGAGTAGCCTGATTTTCCTTATCATGCTAAACACATAAAAACATGAATTAAAAACATAATAATTACAAGCAATAATAATGACACGTCTTACCTTGCTTTGTTGATTGCATGTTTTCAGTCTTCAGGCTCTTGATATCTATAATTCTGCCTGTCAGTAGTCTAATAATTCCCGATGTGTAACTCGAGCAGGTCAGATCCAGTGTTTGTTCAGATCCTTCAGTGTTTCATCTGTTCTCTCGAGCGTTCGACTCACAATGGAACGAAAGGAACTCCCAGGTCTCGCACGAGCGCTCAGAACTCAATGTTCTCGAGCTGGTGTTTCCGTCACTGGCTCCGCCCCTTTAACCCAGTGACACACTTTCACCCGTCCAGAGGCGAAACCCGCGTATGGCAAGCCGTTTTAGCTTTTATTCTTTACCAGGGTATGAATTCAACAATTTTTATTAGTTAAAATGCCAATCTTGATATCAGGAATTGCATTTCCACTATAGAAAAATGTTAATTCTTGATATCAACAATGACGCCATCGCTCGAAGAACTACGAATTCGTAATTATAGTAATTACTATAACGAAGAAAACTGATATCTGTAATTGTATTGTCACCATAGGCCGCCATTCAAATTCAATTGTTGATAATCATCAAGAATTGATTTCTTATTAGTTGAAATTCCAATTTCACATATCCGAAATAGTAAAAATCATATATTTTTTAGATATCAATGATTGTGTGGTTTATAGTGCAAAAGTCTGTTCTTGATATCAACAATTGAATTGCTACAAGTAAACATGTTCATTTTTTATTAAAAATGCTGGGTTGTTGTAACCCAACTTTGGGTCAAATATGGACAAACCCAGCCGTTGGGTTACATTTTTTAATTACATTTTTAACCCAACGTTTGGGTTTGTCCATATTTGACCCAAAGTTGGGTTACAACAACCCAGCATTTTTAGAGTGATGAACGTGATCGACATGAAATCAAAATTGACATTATTTTAACGTTGTATTGCGATGTTTATTATAAATTATCCATGCACATCATTATTGTTTTAAATTCGAATCAGAATAACAGCATCATCTCTTCTCTTCTCTGATGACGAGGGCGGGGCAACCTGTCAATCACATGAGATCCACCAATAGCAAACCACAACCATCCAATCGCCCAACATTTGTTCTTGTTTGAGAAGCATTTCACTCGATAAACGGCACAGAAGGGAAGACAAGTTTTTATTCATTAACACACAAGAATTACATTAATATATTACATTTTAAAATCCCATTGTAGTCAATAATTCAAACCGTGTTTTTAAGGTTCACTGCAGTTTTGGAAGAAAATACTCAGCAATGGTGTTGACTTATGAATTTGTACATGGGTTGTCTTAAAAACACCACATATACATATAAACAACATTAAAAACTCGTTTTTCACTATAACTTTACCCATAAAATGCCATATATCTTGTTTTCCTTCGGTACATTTATTCAGCTAAGCTCAACTACACTTTTTTCACTGCCAGGACAAATACATGAGCCATGACAGAATCATAAAATATGGGTTTGATGGTTATGCAACATGGTCATGAATCTGGTTGGTTATTTCCAAAACAATAACCTGATTTAACAAGCTCAGCGTCTGTTATAAGTCACATAATGTACCGTACACCACAGCCTGAACATTTTTTTTCTAATCAGATCCCTGTTTGGAAGAACTCTAGGACACGACGTCCTGTACTCTACAAACCCAGAGGAGAAGGTGTGGTTAAATGCACCAGATGAACAGCTAAAAATAACCATTTGGTAAAGTAGGTCTATTGCGTACCATTTCACCATAACCCATGAATTATTAACCAGATCTTGATCTATATCTCAGATAATTGACTGCATTAATCCACATATCTCAGGCTGCAGTGAGATACCATACAGAGCATGGGTTATCCATACACGCTAGATATGTTTAAATATACTTCTCATTTTGATTTCTCATTTCCATCAGATACAGCACAATAAACAGAGTCATCCACTGACATCTAGTGGACAGGCTAGATCTCTACAGTCTTCCTTACATGGGCGAATCAATGGAAAACAGGTGACTTGAAGTTCTCAGAAGCTGGTGTTATCATGACCCTGGGTTGTTTGAACGGGTCATCTGGTTTAAATGTGATTTCAGAGAAGCCGTCGGGATCACAGATATTACTGCTCTATTATTAGATCATGATAACGTTTAATAAGCAGCATACACATGATTGGAATCATAATGATTATTAAATACATGTTGATAATCATACACTGGAATCTAAATGTCTGAGACTATATTAAAACAAGATGTGATTTTCTCCCCTTCAAATCTGGAAGTTTTAGGATTTTGGAAACGTTAGGACAAAGAATGGTTCCGATGTAAAATAAATAATACATGTTTAAGATTCTCTGCAACAGGTCATTCATCAAATGTAAGTAAATTAGTTAAATTTATCATCTTACTGTTCTTCCTTCAAGAGAATGAAATGTAATCAGTGTTATTTTATATTAGGCTATATCATGTATTAATATTTTGAGTAAGGTTTTATTTTATATTAATTTTAAATTAAGTTTTAGTAGGCTAATTCTGTAATGTGCTTTTGTCAATTTTGATCCTTTTTTATATTTTCATATAATTATTATTTTTTATTTCCATTTCAGTTTTAAGTAATTTTAGTATACTTCAACTCAAGCTTATTCACATAGGGTTAAGGAAAGATGAGTAAATAATCGCATAATTTTCATTTTTGGGTGAACTGTTCCTTTAAGACAGCTGGCCGTGACACTGGACTGACCTGGATCAACCTGAGTAAATGAGTTTGACATTTTATTATTTGGGGTGTGAAATTAGCAATGATTGACCAACCTTTTGGCATTTGTGGTGAGAATGTCTTGCTCATCATTATAGTCTCCAACAGCAGATAGATGTAATGTGTGTGAAAGGTTAGTTTGTAGAACAGACAAGAAACTTCGGTCACCATCATATGATTCTACATAGTAAATGAACTGTGAACTCCTGACTAACATAAAAAACCAATCGGAAAATTTCCAAATTTTACCACTGTGGATCAGACATAATGACATTGTATGATTTATTAACAATGTTGGTTGATGTGGGCTGAGATCATACGATTGTTACCTAGGTTAACTTAATTGTTGTTTATTAAACGACGAGACACTCGATCACCTATCGTGATTTCACAAGTAGCCTACGGGTGTTCTGCTTAGGCACCATTTTGTGGTCAAAATCATAGTAATGGAATACACCAATGTAAAATAAATAGTAACATTTATTAATAATAATAAGAAACAATATTCGCTAATGAACAGTATTCGTATAAAAAGTGGGCTTTTTATGGTTACTAAGCAACGTGGCAGCGGCTCATTAAAACGCGCGCAGTCACAGGTGTTCATCCAATCAGAATTTAGAGCGGGAACTGTGGGTTTTAAATGTTGCGTTTTAGCAAAACCTCGACTAGTTTGGTGTGGTTAATATAATATACCGTTAGAAAACTTCCTTCCATAACCGTTTTAATGACATCTCTTCAGTGCCTTTGCCTCGTGAGAGTGACTTTTGCTGGAAAGAAGACAAACATTTGTAAGTTTATACAATGATAAAACTGCTTGATAAATGAGTAACAATATAATAACTAACAAACAAACAAACAAAAAATCCATGATAATTCACAAGGTAACTCATGAATCAAAAGAGTTATTGGCTTTAGGGAAGACCACTATTTTATTTCAGTGAATATTTTACAGGTTGTACATATGTTTATGTATGCATGAATTTATTTATTTAAATTTGAATTTCTGTATGTACACAAACCTTAAAGACACTGAACATTTTTGCCTTTACTTACCAGGAAAAAGATCATTTGACATGTTGACCATTTGTGACAACATGCCCCTATAAGTTGTTACTATAGGAACCTTCCAATAAGCAGCCTGCCTAATAATACATGCTTTCAGCTAAATCTACACAGTAAAACTAATGCAAAACATTCCATCTCGAAATTTATCTTGAAATGTTAGTTTGGCAGACAGAATTGACATATTTATTTGAATACCAACTTTAAAAAACAAACAAACAAACATAATTTACATAAAATGCAGATAATCCAGATATCATCCTAACAAACACTGCTAGTTAGGAGACAACTAGGTGAAATTATATTAAAGAATAAAAGTTTTGTGTGACTGATGCTGAAAGCACATGTAAAAATTGCATGATTAGCAAAGAAATTCTGCACAATGAAATTATCTTGAAATATTAGTTTGGAGGACACAATTTACATAAATTATAATTTATTTTAAGTAGGGCTGTCAAATGATTAATCATGATTAATCACATCCAAAATAAAAGTTTTTTTTACATAATATATGTGGGTGCACTGTGTATAATTATTTGATATATATAAATACACACACATGCTTGTATATATTTAAGAAATATGTTCATGTATATATGGTATATAGATTTATATATAATTTATATTATATATAAATATTTTATATATAAATAATTTTTTTTCTTAAATATACATGCATGTGTGTGTATTTATATATATACAAAATAATTATACACAGTGCACCCACATACACTCACCGGCCACTTTATTAGGTACACCTGTCCAACTGCTCGTTAACACTTAATTTCTAAGCAGCTAATCACATGGCGGCAACTCAGTGCATTTAGGCATGTAGACATGGTCAAGACAATCTCCTGCAGTTCAAACCGAGCATCAGTATGGGGAAGAAAGGTGATTTGAGTGACTTTGAACGTGGCATGATTGTTGGTGCCAGAAGGGCTGGTCTGAGTATTTCAGAAACTGCTAATCTACTGGGATTTTCACGCACAACCATCTCTAGGGTTTACAGAGAATGGTCCGAAAAAGAAAAAACATCCAGTGAGCGGCAGTTCTGTGGGCGGAAATGCCTTGTTGATGCCAGAGGTCAGAGGAGAATGGCCAGACTGGTTCGAGCTGATAGAAGGGCAACAGTGACTGAAATAACCACTCGTTACAACCGAGGTATGCAGCAAAGCATTTGTGAAGCCACAACACGCACAACCTTGAGGCGGATGGGCTACAACAGCAGAAGACTCCACCGGGTACCACTCATCTCCACTACAAATAGGAAAAAGAGGCTACA